TGACCTGTCAGTTGGCCTGTCCTGCCTGTTGTTCTACTGCTTCATCCCTCCTTGCTCGAACAACAAAGTCTGTGCTGCAAGCTTGTTCTTGCTGAAACCAGACTGTAAGCCCACACAAGCCCAGGTGGCTGTTGTGCGCCCTGGCGGGAGTGTGGGCGGCCAGCAGAGCCAGCGCAGCATCGCAGTTGTGTGCAGGCGGCGAGCTGTGCAAGATGGCACATGATCCTGTGCCAGTCTCAGGCCTGCTAGTGCACGCGCGGGAAGCGGCCGGCAACCCCTCGCTCACCACAGCACCAGCTTGGGCATCTCCACGCGGCGGGACAGGTGAGAGTCGAGGGCCTTGACCGTTTCCAGGAAGTGAGCGTCGCGCAGGTTCCAGGTCAGCTCCTCGCCGAAAAACCTGGTCGGGCAGACGAACAGGAAAAGGCAGGCAGGTTGGCTGGGAGGTAGAAGGTTTTCTGAGCGGTCAGTGAGGGGGCGGCTGGCGTCGGCGGTTGGGAGGTGTGTGTGGAGCATGCACAGGCCGCCGGATGTGGCTGGCAAGCAGACGGGCAGGGCGAGCTGAGGCGGCGCACAGGTTGCGATAGTAGCCCTCGGCCCCCTTGACCACTGCCGCGTTGCAGCGCGCCGCAAACGCCGCCTCCTCCCCGTACTCGCCGTCCAGCTTCTGGCTGCAGGGCGGGGTGTGGCAGGGGCACAGGGGCTGGAGGAGGTGCAGGGCAAGCCGAGATGTGGGCTCCCAGGCAGCGCAGTGTAGGGGCAGGTGGGCCCCTGGCCTGGCAGTTCCTGCTTGCCTGTACGCATCCGCCTTCCTGCCCACCTCCTTGAGCACAGACAGCGCGGCGTTGGCGCAGGAGGGCGCACCGCCCACCCCAACCTGCACTCCCGGCCAGGCCCAAGCTTGTGAGGCGTGCTCAGAAGCAGCTGCCGGGCTCAGGTTGCGGCAATGCCTCATGCATCCCCCCAGTGTTCCACCTGCTGCTTCCCCACACCAGCACCACCACCGCTCCCAGCCACCCACCGCATAGGCGTAGGCCATTGTGTCGGCGCCGTAGCGGTCAAAGCACTGGAACCTGGCCTTGGCGCGGATGGCGGCGTCTTGGTCCACGCCAGACAGAAACTCCACAACCTTGGCGGCTGGTGCAGGAAGGCGGGAGGTGGTGGGGTGCAAGTTGGGGAGGAGGGTTCATATGCATGTTGGCACGTCAGCTGGGCGACGAGGCAGGGCACGGCGGCTAGTGGCAGAGCTTGGCTGAGCAGGCTGTACCTGACTCATGCAGGGAGTAGAGGTCCAGGCCATAGAAGCCAGCGCCCTGGGCGTAGCGCTGCTCCTGGGGGATCTGGGCGTTGTGCTGCCTCAGCCAGTCCACAAAGCGGGTCACTACCGTGTTGCGCCACATCCTGCGGGCACAGAGGGGTAGGGGCAGCCCTTGAGCACGACAGTCGGGCAGGCGAGAAGGGTTCAGGTGCAGCATGCCCAGCGTGGCACGGCGCCCGCTGCAGCCGCCACGTGCCAGGTGGGAAAGCGCTTGAAGTCGGCGAGTGCCTGCTCGGAGCCGGCATCGGCGTTCATGCCCCGGCAGTACATGTTGGCGCGGAAGGCGGGCGGGAAGTCGGCCTCCACAACCACTGCATGAGAAGAGGGGGGGGGCAGGGTGGGGCGGGGAGGCCGTCCGCCGTTGGAGGGCGCGCCATAAGCGAGGGTTGGAGCGTACCCTGCCTTGGCTGCATCCCCACACATACCTGCATTGAAGCCCCGCTCCTGGATGAGCATCTTGGTGAGCTCCGCGCGCATGCTGTAAAACTCCTCTGCAGCCAGCAGGCGGGAGAGCAAGCGGCACAGGAGGCTCAGCGGGAGAGGCTCAGCTGGGCAGCGGAAGCACGCGAAGCACCAGTCCCCACCTGTCCCGTGGCTGGCCTCGCCAATTAGCACATACTGCGCATCTGCCGGGATGCGGTCCAGTAGGCAGCGCTCCAGCGGGCGGCCGGGGCCCGGCAGGATGGCGCTGTTCTTGATCAGCTCTAGCCTGTGGGGAAGAGCAGCGTACTCTTGTGGTGGCTTCGGAAGCGGTAGATCTTGATGGTGTGGCTAGCCTGCACGGGTCACTGAACCAGCTGCTCGCCTGTTGTTGTCGTCCCAGCTGGCCATGGTGCTAAGCGGGGCGCTCCTGCTTGTGCTCTGGGGTCGGCGGCGGCCTGCGGGATGGGCACATCATCACCAGCAGCGCCAGTCAGTGCATCGGACGACGCCCTCCAAACCGGTGCTCCTGCCGTTTGGGGCGGCTTGCCGAGATGCAGGAGTGGCTGCAAAGGGCGCACCGCGCACAAACAACGCCAGATGTGAGCTTGCCCGGGTTGCTGAGCGGAGTGTCCCTTGGATGAGTGGGAGGGTCGTCAGGAGTCTCGCAACATTCATAACGAGACCATAGCGCAATTGTTAAGGCGCTCTGTGCAGGAAGAACCGCACACGTTGGCTGCCGTGCTGGCACTTTCGCAAGCACCCAGGATGGGACGCTCCGTCTTCTCTGGTCGAATTGGGTGGGCAGAATCTGGGCATCCGCAGCAGCAGCAGCAGCACAGGCCTTGAGCATCGCCATGAATCAGATGAATCACGAGGGTGCTGCGGCACCCGGGCAGGCACTAGAGCAGCCGCAACAGCAGGAGGCTCCAGCGGGGCAGGCAAACGGGCAGCCAGGCGAGGCCGCCGTCCCTGCCGCAGCGGCGGCGGCGGCGGGAGCTCCTCCCTCCCAGCAACAGCCTGCCGCCCAGCAGCAGCAGCAGCAGCAGCAAGGGCAGCGGCCAGCAGGCACTGCAGCTGTTGAGCCCGCCACAGGCGGCGATGCAAACGGCGCCGACGGCGAGCATGGCCCCGCGCTCAAGAAGCGGCGGCTGACGCCGCCACCCGACTTTAGCTACGAGCCAAGCGCTGCCGTGGACCTTGTGCTCAAGACAGCAGACGGCAAGCGCCTGGGCGTGCACCGCCTCATCGTGCTGCGCTCCTGTGGCTTCTTCCGTGCACTGCTGGACGCATGCGAGGAGGCAGAGGTGGGTGGTGGCGGGGGCAGTTGGGGCGGGCGAGAGTTGGCTGTGGCCACCTTGTCTACAGTTTTCGGGCAGTGCTTCTCCCGCACCGCAGGTGGCTGTGCCCGAGGGGTTCGAGGAGGTCAAGGCGCACCTGCTGGACATCATCTACTCCCGATCCGTGCTCATCAAGCCCGAGATAGCCATGAAGGTGGGCTGCCGGGCTGTGCCGGCCTGCTGCCTGCACCGGCTGCGAGCTGAGGCCAAGCCCTGCCGCACCCTCTGACCCTGCAGGTGTTCCAGCTGGCGGACAAGTACGAGGCTGAGGACATCATGCAGGCGTGCAGGTGGGGCAGGCAGGCGGGGTGCACCAGGCGGGAGGTCGGCGCAGGCTTCTGTGGCGCTCTGCACATCGCCGCACTGCGCATCGCCACAATGACACACCACGTGCCCACACGCCCATACCAGCCAGCCAACACTCATGTCAAGCCGGCCGCCTGCAGGCCGGTGTTCATGAGCGAGGCCTTCAAGATGCGCATCGCCACGCCGGCGCCCGAGCCGGCCTTCCCCTTTGGCATGGGCGCCTCGGCGGCGGCGGCGGCTGCGGCGCACGCCGAGTGGCTGGATGTGCTGGCGCTGGCCAGCAAGCACCGGTACGAGGACCTGTTCGACAAGGCCACAGACTTCCTGGTGGAGGAGGTGGGCTGTCGGGCTGGGGTGGAAAGTGCAGGGGTGGTGGCTCAGGGTGGCCGTTCTGACGGCGCGATGCCGCTGCCGCTGCTGCTGCTGGCGCGGCGCCGCCATGCCGTGCCCGCGGCTGATGAGGCCGTGTGACGTACCTGGCCTGCCGCCGTGTGTGGCCGCAGTCCAAGGACGCGGAGTGCCTGCCGGTGGAGGCGGCGACAGTGCTGATGCGGGGCAAGGAGCAGCTGGCGCAGCTGCACCAGGTGGGTGGGGGCCTGCAGCCCAGCTGCTTTGTGTGTTGTTTCTTTGTGCGCTGCTCCTGTGGGCTGTCATCCTGGTGGCAAGCCCTAGCTACTGCTGCCCCGCCCTGCCCCGCCCCGCCGCAGTTCCACCTGCTCAAGCTGGTCGCCACCTTTGCGCTGTGCACACACAACATGCACAAGAAGGTGGGCGAGGCAGCCTTAGAAGGGGAAGCCGCCTGTGGCCGTTGTGATGCTGGCTGCCTGCTTGCCTGGCACCTACATGGTGTGTGCCTTGCCTGCCTGCAGATGAACAAGGAAGTGGAGGAAACCAACAGCAAGTTGAAGGACAGCCAGGGTCTGGTCGCCAAACTGGAGAAGAAGGCGAGCGACCGCCTGGCCCGCACAGTTGCCTCTTGCTCCCCCCTCTCGTGTTGAAGCTTCCATCCCTGGCCTGGTCACTAGCCTGGCGGCCCCATATTCACATTATCGCACACACCTGCGCACACAAACTTCCTAGCAGCACGCGCTCACGTCATGTTTCATGCACGGGCAGGGCCCGCACTTTCCTCCCCCTTCCGCCGCGCAGGTGGCGGAGCGGCAGAAGACGTACATGAAGCTGCTGGCCAAGTTCAACCGCCTTGTGAACCGGTGCGAGAAGGAGGGGCTGACCTGGCACAGGGAGCTGGACCCAAAGGAGCCGGGCGGCAAGAAGAAGAAGAAGGCTGCGGCGGCAGCAGCGGCGCCGGCGGCAGCAGGCGCCGCTGCGGCAGTCGGCCCCGCTCAGTGACCCATCCCTGCCCCCATCCCCGTGCTTCTGCTGGTATTGCCATTATCTGTTGGTTATTGCGCTCAAAGTATGGTCAGGAGTCAAGTCAAGAACAGTTCGCAGTGCAGGCGTCGCACATCAAGGAGCGGCCAGTCGGGGTTGGAAGGTCAGACAAGCAAGGGGAGGTGATCATTTGTGGGAGGCGTGCGGCAGCTATGACGATGCAGCCTGCATCGCAGCGGGGCGCGGCCGCATGCCCAGCACCTGCACCAGCCGCGCCTCTATGCCGCCCAGCATCGGCATCAGCGCCGCCTGCATCTGGCTGCTGCTCTGCGCTGCTCGCGTCAGCTCCATGCACAGCGCCCTGCAGGCAGCGTGGAGGGGGGCATGCAGCAGCAGGCGGGCAGCAGGACGAGCAAGAGCCCGGCGCCGGCATGCCGAGCATGCCGGCATGGGGCTAGAGAGGCCAGCCCAGCGGGCCCACCTGACTTGCATGTCCAGCTGAGCACTCCTGGCCTTCTCCAGCAGCAGCTCCTCCTGAAACCGCTGGCACAGCGCAGCCAGGTGGGCCGGGTCGCCTTGCCCTCCCGCAGCGACCGCTGCCAGGGCATCCTCGCCCCTGCCCGCATCTCCGCTGCCTGCTCCTGCCCCTTTCCCTGCCGCGCCTGCTGCTCGGCCGTTGGCGCCGCCGCCGGCCGCGCCGCCGGTGCCGCAGGGGGCGGCCGGCGCCAGGTTCCACGTCGCGCTTTCTTCCAGCAAGTCCTTGAGCCGCTCGTTCTGCGACAGGCTGTCCTGCGCCTGCGCCTCCCACTTGGCCGCCACATCCCGCAGCTGCGCCACCGACTGCAGGCACACAGCAGCGCCAGCCAGGGTGGGGAGCGCCACCCTGCCGAGCGCGAGGCAACAGAGCTGGCCCTGCCCCAGCACACGCGCGCAACAGCGAGGTAGGCACCCAGGTCATCCCAGCGGCACACCCCACCTCTGCCAGTGCGGCGTTGTCCCCCGACAGCCGCTCGATCTCCGCGGCCTGCGCATCAAAGGCGCCGATCAGCTTGTCCCGGCTGGCCTTGAGCGCCACGATGCGCTGCTGCAGCACCGCCGCCGTCTCCTCGGCCTCGGCCTCGCCGCCCGCCGCGGCACCGGCCGCGCCGCCGGCCCCTCCGGGCGGCAGGCTGGCGGAGGAAGCTGACTTCTTCATGCCGCCAAACAGGCCGCGCCCCTTGCCCCCGCTCCCCAGCTGCTTGATGCGCTGCTGGGCCTTGAGCAGCTTCTCGGTGGCGGACACAGCCTCCCTCTCCGCCGCCTCCAGAGTGCGCACAAGCTCCTCGCTGCGCTGCCGCTCCTGGTCCAGCTCCGCCAGCAGGATGTCCAGGTCGGCAGCCAGCCCGCTGTCGCTCTTGCTGCTCTGCGTGTGGCGCAGCGAGCGCGAGGCGGCCGCCGCCACGCCGGCGCTGCTTCCCAGCCGCTCGGCGGTGGCTGGGGAGAGGGGCCCCGCGGCAGCGGCCGCCGCCGCGCTCGCCTCTGCCGCCTGCTGCTGCTCCCGCAGCGCGGCCTCCAGCGCCGCCGCCTGCGCCTCGGCACGCAGCTGCTCCTCCTCTGCCTCGGCGGCACGCCGCTCACACGCCAGCAGCGCGGTAGCCAGCTCGTCTCGCGCCTTTTGCAGCCGGCTGCGGTCTGCAGCCACCACCTCCACCGCCTCCTCGGCCTGCCGCCGCAGCAGCTGCTCCTCTGCCAGCTGCTGCCGAAGCCGCTCCAGCTGAACCTGGAGCTGCGTCGGCTCGTCGGCCGCCCCGCCGCCGCCCATGCTGGCAGCAGCGCCGGGGCTGGCAGCGCCGGCGCTCTGCTCCTGGATCAGCGGAGGCGCGGGGCTGGCCGCCCTGCGCTGTGCAAGGCGGGAACTTGAATCGCTGTGCGCACAGGGTTGGCCCTGTGTCGTTTGCACGCCTGTACACGTGCTGAGGGTGTGCAGTGATCACGGCGCGCGTCAACGTTTCCACCTGTGGCCCGTGCACCCTGTACCCTGTACTGCCGCCACCTTGTCGTGGCGCCACCGCCCCCCCTCTACCCACAAAAGCTCAATAATCCACTGGGCTGGGTCACCCTCAGATCAGGCAGCTGCCAAATCATCTAACAAGAGACCACCCCAAGGGCCATGGCGGCGCTCACCCTGACAGGATGCTACAGACCGCACACAGCCTGCCCTCAGCCCGTGAGATGGGCAGCAGCGCCCCCAATGACCGCTGCTGGGCGCTTCCGCCTGAGACCGGCGCCGCTCAGAGGTGCCAGACCTCGTCAGCAGGTGCCCGCTGCCGCATTGCCCGGCTCCATGCTGCCCATGGACAGCGAGGCCAGGGAGGAGCTGCCCAAGTGGCTGACGCTGGCCGGCCTCGCCGCCAGCCAGCTGTCCAAGCAGTTCAACCTCACCAGGTGTGTCGCCCCCCGCTGTCGCGCCGCTGCATCAAGCGCTCAACTGGCTGATCAGCTCTCCCGCTCTGCGCTGCTGCACTGCAGATTCCAGCTCACCACGTCGCACATCTACGTTGCGCTGGCCGGGTACACAGTAGCGTGGGCGGCGCTGACGATGCTGGACAGGGACAGCCGGGTGCAGTTTGATGTGGTGGGCAGCGCAATAGGTGGGCCGATGACATGATGCCCTGTGCCAGCATGCGTTATGCTGCTGCACACGGCATACAGTTTGCGCCGGCTGGCTCGCCACCTTAAGTGCTCACGGCTGCCTCGCACACCCTTCCGAACAGGCCCGATGTTCGTTGCGGTGCATGCGCTGGGCGGCTTTGGGGGCAGGGTGGCGCCCATGGATGTGGCTACCTTCCTGTTTGGATGGTGGTGGGTGAGTGGTCAGCAATGCTGGTGCCACCAGCCGGCAACTTAACTCTTTGGCTGTCAGGGTGGCCTGGCCACGCCGGCGAGAGCTCAGGTGAGTGTGCCTGCCTACCAACGCCCTGCAGATCGGCAAGCTGCCCGCCTTCCCTTACTCGCACTGGGCCTGGCTGGCCACACTGGTGGCAGCCATCTACAAGGGCTTGGGGGCGCAGGTAGGCGCGGCCTGGCAAGCAGCTTGCCGTCGCGACCGCCGTCGAGTGGGCTGGCATTGCTTGCTCGTCGGCATCGCCCCCCAAGGCCCTGTACCGGCCTGCGCGGCTGCCGCAAAGGACTTGCTCTGGCTGTTGCTCGATGCATCTCTTTGGGCGCGCCCTGTCATGTGCTGCGCAGTGGCTGGTGGGCGCACTGGGTGTGTCGGCTGTGTGGAGGCTGGTGATGGACAGGGACCTCAAGCAGCTTGCTTTCGCTGGCGTGGCGGCCTATGCATTCGCCAAGGGGGTGAGCGGGGAGGGAATGAAGAGGGCGGTGCACGATCAAGATGATGCCAGCACTGGTTGCCTGGCATACACCACTGATTGCCTGGCCTGACGCCCGCTTCTGTGGCCAGGCGGAGGTGCCCGTAGCCCTGATAATGATGGCGGCGCAGATGGTGGCGTCCATCGTTTCTTGAGCCCGGCTGCGGCAGCGCTTTCAGGGCACAGGCCCTGACAAGCGATTCTGACACAGCCTCAAGATGCTGGCACACAGAGTGAGGACAAACTTGTGTTCAAACGATGGCTCAAGGACGGAATCACCCCACCCCTCCCGTACCCTTGCGATGGGGAAATCTGTGCCACAGCATGTTTCTGCGGCGAGGCAGGCCATCTCGGAGGTCTGTACAGCGAATCAGTAGTGCCACCTGTCGCGCACATCTTCCCCTACAAGGCCCAGTAATGTCGGAGCACCCCATCATTCTGCCCCTACAGCCTCTACTTGCAAGTGGGTTGCGCGTCAGGCACTCCGACACAGCTCTCGCTCGACACTCGGCCGCCTAACTCGTGCAAATATGCTCGCTGTGTCTTCCTCGCGTGTGTGCCTCACTCCCACCAGAGGCCTGGGGGCTCGCAGCAGCAGCACCCCGATGCGCCACGGCCTGCTTGTGAGCCGCCCCCGCCCCGCGACCAAGAGGGCCCCCGCTCCCGTCGCGGCGCTCCCCGGCTCGGATGCTATTCCCCTGGATGGCGCTGTGAAGGAGGAGCTGCCCCAGTGGCTGACCCTGGTCGGCTACGCCGCCACCATGGTGGCAGAGAAGGCCAAGCTCGCCAGGTGCGAGCGGTAGCCGTTTCCCGCCGCCGCCGTTTTGCGTGCAGTACGCAGGGAAATCTTTGTCTATCCGGGCCTCTGCCAGCCTGCGGACCTTTGACCATCGCCGCGCCGCCCCCTGAATGCAGCTTCCAGCTGACCGCCAACCACATCTTCACCGCCCTGGCCTGGTACACGCTGATTTGGGGCGGGCTGACGCTGGCTGACGTGTCCAAGGGCTCCGACACGATTGGAAGCCTTGTGGGCCCCATGTTCCTGGCCGTCAACGCGCTGGACGGCTTCGGCAAGATCGCGCCTCTTGAGACTGCCATCTTCCTGTTTGGCTACCTGCTGGTGAGCAGCGGAGGGGCGGGTGGGAGGCGCTGGCCAGCCCCATGCCACCAGATCAGCCCCACGCCCTCCACCAGACACACCCCTTGGTTTCCCCCGGATTCCCCTTCCCCGCAGGTGGATACCCTGCCCGCTTTCAAGTACTCACGCTATGCCTGGCTGGCCACACTGGTGGCAGCCATCTACAAGGGCTTGGGGGCGCAGGTAGGCGCGGTCGTTCACTCCTCCTTTCACCGCTCTTACGGCACAGCAGGCATGGGCCAGTGCTCCTTCCAGGGCCGTTCACTCAGGCCAGGCATCTTCCCGCTCGATACAATGGCTGCAGTGGCTGGTGGGGGCGTACGGCCTGTCGGCGGCTTGGAAGCTGGTGCAGCAGTACCGTGCAGACAAGAGCATCCGGTACCAGTCGATTGCCTTTGCGGCCTTGGCTGGCTACGCCTTCTACGCGCAGGTGCGTCCAGCAGGCAGAGAGGGTGAACGCCCAAGGCGTTCAGTACGGATGCTGTGCATTGTTGAGCAGCGCACGCATCCTGGCTACTGCCATGCATGATCATGTATTCCTCCCTGGTGCTGCTGTCGTCCTGATGCCGGTCGGCCTTGGTTTCCGCAGGTGGAGGGCCCGGTATCGCTGTTCATGATGGCAGCAGCGATGGTGGCCTCCGCCGTGGCCTGAACCAGCACGCGCAGCCCTGACGCTCCCTGTGATCGCCAGCTAGGCGCTGAGCAGTTGTCCAAGTAGCAGGCTGACGCAATGACTGGGAGCACATGGCACCTGACCTCGCCCATTTTTGGTTTACAAAACATTTTTGACAGCGGCAGCTTTTCGGTTACTGTATTGCACCCTGAGTGAGTGACGCATATGCCATGTGGCTTGTGCAGAGCACGGTGGTTGATTCGACTGGCGAGGGCAAAAAAACTGAGTTTTGAACCTGAAAAATCTGATTGTGGGCATCTGCTGAGGAAGAAAAGAAATTTGTACAACCGCGCTTGTGTAAAGAACAGATTGTAAATGGATAAGGCCAGTAGGGGTCGTGCGTTGGGAGCTACTGCGTCCCAATGAAATGCTTTTCTAGTAGTCAAAACCGCTTTCTCCTGCCTCGCCATGTGTGGCAGCTCACACCTCAAACGACATGCGCTCCTCGTCGTCCACCCGGTGCGAGGCGATGCTGGTGGCAGGCACGGTGACGGTGGTGGAGTTGTTGAAGCCCGAGGTGAAGCTGGAGGAGAAGAACGACTTGGTGCTGCCGCCCCGGTTGAAGCTGCCGGGCTGCTGGTCCTTGGCCTCGGTGGCTGCAGGGCCAGGCGCATCACATGGGCATGGGACACGGGCCAGAAGGCATGCACGGGGGAAGCCACGCTATCCAGACGCTGGCCAGCGGTATCATGTGCAGGACAGAAACGCTTGTACATGGAGTCGGGCTGCGTGCTGGGTTGGAAGCGTGGACGTGCAGGGGGGCAGGGGCCAGGGAGTGGCGCAGCGACTGTGCCACTCACTGTAGATGGTTTTGAGGAGGCCGTCGTGGAGGGAGTACACCAGGCCGTGCACCGCCAGCTGGTGCCCCGCGTCCCACGCCTGCTGCACCACCGGGCTGGTGCACACGTTGAACACCTGCCGCATGACGTTCAAATCCACCAGCTTGTTGGCGCGAGCGGGGCCGTTGAGGCACCGCAGCGCCTCCACATTCTTCTCCAGCGTGTCGCGCACATCCTGGATCCACAGGTTGGCCAGGGCTGCGGGGAGAGCGGGCCGGGGGAGTGCAGGGATGGGGTGAGCGAGGAGCATAGCAGTGGCACTAGCGGCACCCGGCCCTGTGCCTGCCGCCTGCTGCTCGCCTGCTGCTGCTGCTGCTGCCCGGCCGCTGGCGCTCACCCGACGTCTTGCCGGGCACATCCTCGTGCAGCGTCCCCTCCACCGCTCCACAGCCGTAGTGGCCGCACACAATGATGTGCTTCACCTTGAGCACTGCAATGCGACAGGGACGCACATGCGCATGAGCGTGGGCGGGGAAGGCTTGCAGGAGCCAATACCGCCAGTGATCCATGGTCGTGGTGCTGGGCTGGGCAATGCCCCGTGCCCACCTGCCACCGCGTACTCCAGGCAGCTCATCAGGTTCATATCTTTGAAGGAAGCAATGTTGCCCACGTTACGCTGCATGGCCAGCGCATCGTCGCAGCACTGGGTCTTGTGCTGGTGGTAGAGGCCGCTGTCTCGGCAGCAAGCATGGCCAACAGCTGAGGCAGGCAGGCAGGCAGGCATTTTTGCCCCCACCTGCACCAGCACTTCTCCCGGCCGCAGCCCAATCAGATCGTTGGCAGGCATGCGTGCATCTGCGCACCCAATCCTGCAAGGGCGGTAGAGGCGGCAGCATGAAGCAGCAGCATCAGCAGGCATGCAGAGTCCAGAAGCTACTTGCAAACTCTATCCACGCAGCAGCAGAAGGTGTGCTTTGCAACTTTGTCAAGAGCAAGCACATTGTGCTTTTGGCAGCAGGCTAGGGCGGCAGCGCCAGCGGTAGCGCTCGAGCCACTCACCACAGCACCTCGGGCGCCTGCAGCTCCACCAGCTTCTGGAAGAACCCTGGGGACTTGGCCTCCATCGACTGCGACCAGGCCCTGCGACAGAGCCAGCAGGAGGATGTGGGCGTGGCGCAGAAGCTGAGCTGGCATGCCTACAATGGTGGTAGTCTGGCGCCCTTCGCCCCGAGACCCCAAGGCCCCTGCCAGGCACTGATACGGTGGCTGGCACGCCGACTGGGGCTGCCAAATGGACGCACTTATTGGCATTCAGCCGGGCCTCAATATCCCGGCAGGCCGCAGCCTTGCGCGCGGCCTGATCGCCCGAGCACATGCCTGAGGCTGCGTTCCAGAAGTCCAAATGACGGAGGAAATGCGCGAGAGTGTACTACTACTCACCTGCGCGAGGTACATGGAGGTACTGCACCGCTGGCACCGGGCCCACGCACGGTTTGAGGAGAGACCATTCAGATCCCACCTACCCCAACAGCTGGATCATGCACCCTATAGCATCGGCAGCAGGGAACCCTGACTGACGTATTGGCAAACGATATGGGGGCAGTCGGAGGCCGCAGAGGTGGGCGCTGAAACTGTGCATTGCCCATTTCTTTCAGCAAGCCATTCCCTCTATGTTACGTACTGGCACAAGTGGTAAAAAATAATGCATAATGTTTAATTATTAGTCAAGGTGGAGGCAGAGCCCTTGAGGTGCTGAGATCGGAGCGAGCAGCACAACAGCAGCAGCAGACGGCATATAACAGAAAGTTGAGCTGCACCACAGGCAATGGACCGAGTGTGAGCTTATGATGAATGAAAGATGAAAAGCGAGAGAACTCAATCAACAGGAAATACTGGCCAGCAACACAATGGAGCGGGGAAGGGCAAAGGGGTTTTGATTCCAAGACGGATCCAGGAAGGGATCGGTTGTTCAGCCATGGTGGCATTGCGTCTCTCTACTACCGAAGGTACTGTGCAGCAAGAAAGATGAAGGTAACACAAGCAGGTAATGATCATATGGGTGAGGGGAGTCGGGCGCCGCAGGCGGCATCACAGGTGGGCAGCATCCAGGCTGCGCCATGTGGCGGCATCCGCGACCGAGACGAAGGAGGGTGGGGCGAGGGCAGAGGTGGAGGTGGGCTCTGTGGACAGCGTGCTGCCCTTGCCTGCGCACCCACCCGGCACCGACTGCCGCTGTGAGGTGCTGTCCGCCTGCGCGGCAGCAGCACCTGCATCAGCATGCACATCGGGTGTCGGGGCGACCGCGGCAGCGGCCTTCAGGTCCCCTCCTGACGGCTGCCTGTGCAGGCTAGCGCCCGGGCGCGTGGATGCGGCCGACTGCTCCAGGTGCTGCTGCAGCGTCAGCAGCGTGTCTGGATGGCAGGCCACCGCGCTTGCCTGCCTGCTGGGGATGCCGCCGCCGCTGCTGCCAGCCATGGGCCGCACTGCTGCGGGCCCAGCAGCCGCCGCCTCCTCGGCATCATCCCCAAAGGGTGCCAGCTGGGCAAAAGGAGAGGCAATGGTCAGGCTGAGCTGGTGGTGCAGCTGGCTGGCCATGCCCGCTGCTGCTGCTCCGGCCGCTGCCTGATGCTGCCGCTGCCCTGTGGCGACAGAAGATGGCCTGGCTGCTGCTGCTGCTGAGCGCAGCGGCCCGGCTGGTGGGAGGGGAGCGAAAGGCGAGGGGTCGGGCAGGCCGTAGGCCCCACCACTGCCTCGTGCATCCAAGCCGCCGCTGCCGCCGCCGCCGCCCAGCAAGCCGCTGCCTGGCACCCGGCGTCGCACCCCCGCCGGCAGGTTGAGCGCCGGCAGCTTGAGCGCTGGCAGCGTCGGCATGCGGGGCTCAGCCGGGGGCTGTGGTAGCTGGCGTGCATCACCCGGGCGCGCGGGAGCCGAAGGGTCGCCACTCTCCAGCACCAGGTGGCCTTCACTGAGGGCGTGCTGACTGCCCAGGCTGCTGCTGCGTGAGTCGCTGTAGTGGCCCTCCAGCTCCTGCAGGCAGCCCGGAGGAAGCGGGGGACGTCAAAGCTGAGCAAACATGCCTGCCCAGCCACTGTTGCATGTCAGCTCCAAAATGTGGCACATGCAGCAGCTGCAGGCACCAGAAGGGAGCAGAGCAGCGGCGGGGCAGCGGCAGAGGGCGTGCCTTGACAATCTGTGGGAAGAAGGGGCGGTGGCGGGGGTCGTGCACTAGGCAGCGGCGGCACAGGTCGGCCAGGAAGGGGTCGTTTTGAGGGGGTGGTGGCAGCTGGCGGCCCTGGAATCCCACCGCGCCCACCACCTGCGCAGGGAAACGGGGGCAGGAGGAAAGGATGGGTGGCAGGAGGCCCGTTGGCAGCCAGCGTGCCTCTTCCCAGCCAGCTTCAGCAGGCAGGCCAGCTATCACAAGTGGCTGTAAAAGAGAGCTGGAGCAGGTGCAGCGCTGGCGCCGCCGCACCTGCATCGGGTGCATGCCCTCCCATGGCTGCTGCCCGGTGAGCGTTTCCCACAGCACCTGCAGTTCCAAGGGCAGTGAGACTGGTTGCAAAGCTGCACGATTCACCCCACCCCGCCCCGCTGCCAAAGAAGAGGTGGCGAATGAGTGAACAAGGGTGTGACTGGCAACGCAAGAAGGCGACTGGTTGCTCACCACGCCGTAAGAACTGCAAGGAAGCAAGGGTGTTCATGGTCAGCAGCTGCTCATATGTGGCAGCAGAAGGCGGGCCACTTTTTTTCATGTTGACCAACAGCTGCGCCCCGGTCCATGCATGCGCATCCAACGGGGCCCCCCTTAAGCGCCGCCCACCCACTCACTAAAACTTTTCTCCGTTCGTCTAAGCCCTGCTGCGCCAGCACTCGGGGCGCCATCCCTCTGCAAGGCGCAGGCGGGCGGGCAGGGCGGCATATCGCCTGTCAGCCAGCGCCCACAATGCCGTTGCGCGGGCCGCCAGGCGCCACCGGTCCCGTGGCTCCCCAAGGCGACAACACAGCCGCCCAGCCGCGGTTGCTGGCGCTGACCTGGCGTGCCCGCGCCGGTGCCGGACACAAAGGTGTGGGACCGAACGCGGCTCAGCCCAAAGTCTGCAATCTTGACCCTCCAGCGGTCGTCCAGCAGGATATTGGGCGACTTGAGGTCGAGGTGCATAAGTGGCGGCGAGCGCGTGTGCAGGTACGACATGCCGCGCGCAACCGACACCGCCACTGCGACACGGGCGGGACCGGGCAGGGGAGCAGGAGGGGGTCAGGCAATACAAGCCCCGTTGGGAGGCAAACTGAACGAGCGAAACGGATTGGGGAGACGGACTGCATGTGGACACCACATACACCGACACCACACGCACCACCTACCCGAGCGCTGCATCCTGGGGTCCAGCGGCCGGTCGCCTCCCCGGCGCAGCAGCTTGAACAGGCTGCCGCGGTGCATGAACTCCGCGACGATCGCCAGGTGCGGCTGGGAGCACCAGCCCATGAACAACACAATGTTGGGATGCCGTACCGACTCCAGCATCTGCGTGGGGGGAAGGAGGGCGTGCGGGAGGGAGGGAGGGAGACCAACGTGTCAACGCCAGAAACTCGCACCACACCCGGGTAGGCGCCGCACAGCGAGCCCCTGCTGACAGCCCTCGCTGAAGCCTCACCTGCACCTCGCGCCGGAACCGTTCCTGCCCAAGCTCGTCCACGGCCGTCAGCAGCTTGATCGCGACAAGCGTGCCCTGCAGGCAGCAGCAGGATGTTGTTCAGTCACCCATGCAGCTCAGCACGCGCCAGGAGGGACAACAACGGCAGGCGACTGCACCACAGGAGGTGGCAGCAGCAGCAGCAGCAGCAGCAGCAGCTCCTCACTTGGTACCGGCCGATGAACACCTCTGCAAAGCCGCCAATGGCAATCCGCTCTCCCACCAGCACATCCCGAGGGTCGATCTCAAAGCCGCCTGGGCTGTGCAGCGCCTGCTGCTCCCCCGACGGCCGTCGGCTGTGCCGCGCCTGCTCCTCTCCTGCGCCTCCCAGCCACCCTGCCGCTTCTTGCTGGCCAGAGCTGCAGGCACGCACGTGGTGTGCCCAGGTGTGCGCCTCCCCGCAGCTGGGAGTGCCGGCGCTGCTGCCGCCGCTGGTGGTGCGGGCGTGGTGCGGCTGCGGCGCGAGCGACACGGCCCCGACCCCCGATGCCAGCGAGGAGAGCGACTTGGTGTCTGTGGCCTCGCTGGCGGCGCTGGAAGAGGGGTAGTCGATCTTGCTGGCCAGCGTGCGTGCCGCCAGGCTGCTGCCAGCCGCCCTGGCCAGCTGGGCAGCCAGCTCCGCATCAGCGCCGCCGTGCAGCTCCTCCACGTGCAGGCCGCTGGGCCCCGCCGCGGGCGGCAGCCGCATCGGCAGCGGGTGCAGCGGGGAGGCGGGGTCGCCGGGCGCGGGCAGCGCCTTGTCGAAGTGCGCCCTGAAGTGGTGCACCACGTGCACGTCGATGGCGGCGTCGTCTCCAGGCACCCGGCTGATCTCCAGGAGCGGCTCGCACTCGTGCTGCGCCGCGCTCGCTTGCAGCGGCAGGCCGTCCATCACGTCGCGCTCAATGTCCCGCGACAGCTGCTGCAGCGCCGACAGGCGCCGCTGCATGTGCTGCTGGTGCTGCTGCGGCGACGGCGGCGGTGGCTGCAGAGGGAGGGGCTGGCCGTCCACAGCCTGCAGGTCGGGCAGCGAGCGTAGAGGACGTCACACGGCAGCGGCAGCGGCAGCGGCAGCGACAACGCGCCTGGCAGCAGCTGACCTCGCAACGCAGAGATGACTCACCACGAGCGACAGGCTGCTATCGGGAGGCTCCATGGGGCGAGAGCTGGAAGCCGCGGCCTCTGGAATCGGCGTCCCCCTGTGGCTGCCGGCCCGCCCCCCCCGTATATGTGTCCTCTGAACCTCCCTGTGCAGGCTGGTGCAAGGCCGGGGGTTTCAGACAGACATGTGGGTCGATGTTTAGCTTCCTCACATGCCCCCACTAGGCCTGCTTGGAGCTGATGGCGAGCTCTGGGGAGCGATGTTGACGTGGATTTGCCAGAAATGCCACGCAGTGTTTGCTTCGAGGCCGCCTTGCTGTACAATGGGCGTGCTGCTGGATGGAGCCAGCCTCCCTTGGGAGGGGCCAGGCATTGGTGCATTGCCCACATTCGTTCCCGTGTGCAGTTTAAAAGGTGCACAGCGAAACACCGAGCTCCCCAGCCCTGACACTGGACTCGCTGCCACCCGCAGGGACCCTGAATCCTGCTTGCATCGTGTAGTTGGGCTCGTTGTTTCCGTTGGATCCCACGGTTTGAAGGTTCAGAGCCCAACCAGCCATGCAGAGTGCTACCTTCAACTCTACCACCCGCCAGTGTGCCAAGACGGCGTCTGTCGGGGCTGCAGCACGTCCGGGGAGGCCATGCTTGACATCAGTCAGGTGATGATCGCAGCCCGACAACAGCAGAGGATGGCGGCAGCCAGCGCCGCCGCTCCCCCCGCCGCTCCCGCCGCTGGGAATACATGGCTCCAAACTCAGCATGCAGCCCCACCTGTTGCTGCAGGGTGCTGCCCACGAAGCGGCTTGCAGCGGGGCAGCAGTGCGGCAGTGCTGCCGGGGCACACAGCCGCCGCCTGCATGTCTGCGCCGCCGCCAGCGGCGGCGGCCTTCAAGCGCTCATCTTTGACTGCGACGGTATGGTGTTTTCTCTGGCTTACTGCTTGTCCATTGCCAGTGCCTTGCATCCGTTGGTGTCGCCCGTCTGGCAAATGTTGCAGCAGCCAGCCCTCCGGGCTGCCCGCTCAATCATGTGTGCACTGCCTGGCTTCGTCCCCCACCCCGCCCACCCCACTCCCCCTTTTGCCAGGCGTGATTGTGGAGAGCGAGGACATCCACCGCATGGCCTACAACGCCACCTTCCAGCACTTTGACGTGCGCTGCCCAGGCGGCGATGGCCCCGTGGTGTGGACCGAGGAATATTACGACGACCTGCAGAACAGGGTGAGGCGTCGGCGCATTTCCTGGGCGCCCCATCTCTGCTCCTCCCTGTCACGAGTACCACCTGCCTCCCCGCCGCTGCCCTGCATGGCCTCGCCGCCGCTCTCACTCGGCCGCTCTGCCCCCCTCCCTCTCCCTCCGCCCCCGAGCGCAGGTGGGCGGCGGCAAGCCCAAGATGCGCCACTACTTCTCGCTCAACGGCTGGCCCACGTCCGGCGTGCTGGGCGCCGTGCCCAGCAGCGAGGAGGCGCAGGCCAGGCTGATCGATGCGCTGCAGGACTGGAAGACGGAGAAGTACAAGGACATCATCGGCAGCGGGCAGGTGGCGGCGCGGCCGGGCGTGGTGCGGCTGATGGGCGAGGCGCAGGCGGCGGGGGTGCCGGTGGCGGTGTGCTCCGCAGCCACCAAGAGCGCGGTGGAGTTTGTGCTGGGGAGCCTGCTGGGGCAGGAGCGGTTCCAGGGGCTGGACCTGTTCATGGCGGGGGACGATGTGAAGGAGAAGAAGCCAGACCCGACCATCTACAAGGTGCGGGCAGCGCCCCTGGAGGGATGCGCACGTGTGCGTGCGGGGTGGGGGGCCGGGCAGGTGGCCTGTGCGTGGGGGTGGCAAACCAGCTGTCTGGCGGGCGGCAGGCATGCCCGGGAATCCGCCCTGAAGGCTGCCCTGCTGGCCATGCTGCCCTCCCTCGCCGCAGGTGGCGGCGCAGCGCCTCGGCGTGGACCCCGCAGCCTGCCTGGTGATTGAGGACAGCACGATTGGGCTGGCGGCGGCGCTGGGCGCCGGCATGCGCTGCCTGGTCACGTACACCAGCAGCACGCGCAGCCAGGACTTTGCGGGGGCTGACAGCGTGGTGGCCAGCCTGGATGGGGTCACTTTTGAGGAGCTGGCGAGAGGCGCGCTGGTGGGCAAGGACGACCGCGTCGCCGCCGCCACCTCAGCCTGACCGCATGCTTGGGCCGGTCTGCCTTGGGGCGGGCACAGGGCTGCCTATCATGCCGGCTTTTGGCTGGTCGATCCCAATGTTTTTGCCACATCGCCTGCCTGGCGCTTGCGTGTTTCCGCTGGTGTCTGCCGACTTGTGAACCATTCACGATTTACACCCCCAGATGTTGTGGGCCCATTCTTCATTTTGACCCTGCTGTTCCTGCTATTCTTCCTGTACCTTGCCCCCCGGCTCCGCCCTCCGACCACCTGGCATTCTCCTGGCATCTGCTGGGGTTCCCACGCCTCAAAAGGCCTGACTCAAAGTTTTGCTCATTCATTTCACTCACAGTAAGTTCACTCAAAGTAAGAAACTGCCTGCACCACTGAGGCCAGGTTTGCATTGGACAGAACGCCCTTATCGGTCAAGTACTCCTGCTCCCACTCCAGCAGCGGGCTGTTGTTGCCGTCCTGCGGCACAGCAGGGCAGGGTGGGCAGGTGGCATGGCTGGGCGGGCGCTTTGCGGCTGCCCGTTTGTAGTCCGCCAAGGATGGAGGACCAGCCTGGCAGCAAATGATACGGAAGCACAGGCACACGCACCATCATGAGCTCCACGGTTGCTGCGGACAGCCGCCTGCGCAGGCCATCATTGCCCTTGGCCACAGGGATGGCATCTGTGCGGAGCAGGCAGGCAGGCAGGCAGGCAGGCAGGCAGGCAGGCTCTGATGAGCTGGCACGGCACTGGGGCCGGGGGCCTTCCTGGGAACGGGGGGAGTGCCATCCAGGAATGGCAGCGACTACTGGAGCAGCAGCAGCTCACATGGCGCATTCATGGCGGGGGTGACGCCTGCCGCCTCCGGCAGCCCCAGCGCAGGCTGGCCTGCAGGGCAGCAAAAGAGGGTGCATGCGCCGCACTCGTTGGCTGTTTGGGTGCAGGGACAAAAGGGCCAGCCCGTCCCCCATCCCTGCTGCTCTTCAATGCTTGTCCGCCCGGCACTGCGGTGCATGCACATGCTGCACAGCCACCCACCTGTGTCGTAGGCTGCTGCCACGCACTTGCCGTCGCTCACGCCCTGTACCGCCGCTGGCACCGACTCCATCTCCACAGGCACCACGCCGTACTGCTCCACCAGCGCCCCGGTTGCATAGTAGCCAGCCACAAAGCAGATGGGCTCCCCGGACACACCCTCCCACCCGCCAGCAGCCGCTAGCAAGCCGCCCTGCGTCTGTGGGCAGGCAGGCAAGGCAGGGAAGCGCAGGCGTGTGATGGCTCATGCACAAGGATCTTTGGACTGAGCCAGCCAGGTGAAGGTGTGTGGGCTCGCACACATGCACTACATGGGCCAGCAGGCCAGGCGCACTCACGGGTGTGGTGTACAGCGCCACTCCAGCGCTGTAAAATGCGGGGTGCACAAAATCTACCAGCTTGGCACGCTCCTCGGTGAGGGACAAGGTGTGGATGATGAAATCGACGGTGCCCTGCATGCATGGGAGCATGCATTGCGTGCATGGGGAGCATGGGTGGGTGGGTGGTTTGCCTCTAGCCTGGCCGCATGATGGCTGGTGCATATCCCCCAGGCCGCTCTGCACGTACGTTTTGCACCCAGGGGATCATGTCCTTCAGGGCGGGCACCGGCGCGATCTCGCACTCCAGCCGCGCATTGGTGCACAGCTGTTCCAGGAGTGGGGCCAGGAAGCCGGTGGCATTGCCGGTTTCGGCGTCGTACGTGATGTAGGGGTAGTCGTCGTAACCTGTCGCGCAGGAGGAGGGATGCGGGCAAGGGCAACCAACGAAGAGCTGTGGATTGGCAGCGCTTGGGCGGCGGTGGCGGCAGACGTGCCCGCAAACGCTGCGTCCCCCCCCCACCCACCTGCCACTCCCACCACCGCAGGCACCAGCTCCGCTGCGAACTCCGAGTCATCCTTAGCCAGCGCTCCAGTGGCGAGGGCCAGCAGCGCCAGGACAACCATAGTGCTGGGTTGTGAGGGACGCGGCATGGCTGGCAGCAAAATGACTTGCCCAGTCGCTCACGCGATCATGGTGGCCAATTGGCAACGACGAAAGTCGAGATGCGGCAAAACACATGCGTTTGGCCCCCTTGCATGTGTTGCCCGCTGATGTGGCACCTCCCCCGATTCGTCTGGCTCATCAGGCACGCTCTCTCCCGCGATCCCTCCCTTTCCTTCGCCTTTCAGAGTCTCTAAGGCTTCTATTTCTCCCCTCCCGCACCCCGCAGCTGACGCAAACTTAAAATTATGAACCAACCTGTCATCCTTTATGCCTTAGAACGGCGCCAAAACGGCGCCAAGAATGTGTTTCTCACTAAGTCAGATGTAGAGGGCATCATCCGGATCAAGCAGGGCGACGAGCAGGCGCCCTCAGGCCGGCGGCGGCGGGGTGCGGGAGGGGGGGCGGCAGTGCAGGGCGGCGCCAAGAACTACAGCAAGAAGGTGCTGCAGTTTTTCCAGGTGCTGAAGGGCGCTGGCGGTCAGGACATCCTGTGCCGCTGCGTCAAGCGCAGCGGAGAGTGGCGGTGGTGCCCCGTGGTGCCGCTCGAGGAGCTGCCCCGAGTGATCAAGGAGCACCACGAGCGGGCGACTGGCTTCAGCGGTGTGGAGAAGCTGTACACACATGTGAGTGATACAAGGGGTGCAATGATGCCGCCAGACCAACTGGAGAGTGCTCTGCATCAGGCAGCAACCGGATGCATCGCAGCAAGCACGGGGGGTGCGGCACGGCCAAGGTGGCGCTGCCCTCCTCTCCATCTATCCCTCCTCCCCTCCCTCACGCCGCG